TTTTTACAACTATGCAACAACTCACTTTTATAATCGTAATCATTTTATTTAACAGCAAAATATCGAAGCTTTTAAATAAAATATAAAGAGTATGTCAAAAACAAAATAATGGTATACCTGACATATCATGTACCTATAGATTCACTTTTTATAAAACTTCAGGTGTTATATTCTTCTTTACACTTCTGTAGTATTTACTTTTGCTTCTAAAATTCCTAGAATGTCGAAGGAAACCTAAAAAATAATATTTTTAAAATGTATTTTTAGTTCGATAAAGTATAATTACCTTTTATAAGTATTTGGTGTAAAATGTTGCCGGACATTCGGTTAAATGTTTATCTTCTGGTTTACAACGATTGATCTGCAATTCTTTGTATTTATTGTAGTTTTTTTTTATTTGGTGTCATCGGCATCGACTGCTAAAGATACTTAATGAATGAAATAATAAATTTACATCAGGCATTGTAATCTGAAACAAAGACAATGGTTTAGAAAATATTTATCTATTTTATAGAGGACCCTTACCAAATCTATTCGAATGTATAAATAATAATTATTTATAAAATAAATTCTGGATGTCGAAAAATAAACCATTAAAAAAGACAATTGACAAGAAAAACTGACAAGTGACAATTGACATAAAACTAAACGTTCTGAATTCAGATTTGTAATGTTTACGGTAGGTTAACTAGGTAAATAACAAATAGAAGTTTTGCGAGGTTTTGATTTCCCTCAACAACTTCTCATGAACGTTGCATTTACGTTGTACAGTAATGTTATTACGTTCCCTTAATGCAACATCGCCGAAAGGCTTGGCAACGTTATGTGCTAGCTGGGAACAGACTCTTGTGGTTGATATTGTGATTTAATGAAGAAATGCAAATTGGTCCATATCTAATCGCTTCAAAGCAATTAGATAAAACAAATAACTTGACAATAACTCGTTTCATCCAGACAGAATTATCTTCCTTTTTTTTCCGGAAGCCGTTCCAACAGAAAAATGTTTATTGCTGTTATCCGATGCTGCCCCGTACATGGTAAAAGCAGCAAAAAAATTAAAAATGTTTTATGGAAACTTAATCCATGTTACATGTTTGGCTCATGGTCTAACTTTCCTTTAATAAATGATTTAATTAGTATTGTTAAAAAAATATTTCTTAAAGCTCCTCTAAGAACTCAATTGTACAAAGAAAAATTTCCTGAATTACAGATGCCACCGGAACCTGTGATTACTCGGTGGGGTACCTGGCTTAAAGCTGCCTTTTTTACGCAGATAATTATGAAAAAATTAAAGAAATCATATTTGATTTTGATGATTCATCTAAGGGAATATCTAACACAAAGAAGTTGTTTCAAAATCACATATTACCAAATCAATTAGTGTTTTTAAAAAAATATGCATTTGTACCCAAAATTATATTAGATTTAGAACAAAAAAATTTACCTTTGGTGACTTCCGTAAATTTAATTAAGACGTTTGAATCAGAGTGTAAATATGTCCAGGGCGATATTGGAAAGACGATTTTTCATAAATTTTCAAATGTAATTTTAAAAAATGAAGGATTTATTGTTTTAAGAAACCTTGCTAATATTTATTCTGGTAACTTTGAAGATATTAATACTATTCATCCAGATATTTCAGGAAAATTTAAGTTTGCACCTATTACTTCTGTAGATGTCGAAAGGAGTTTTTCTTTGTACAAGTACATACTTATTGATAGGAGACAATCATTTAATACAGATAATTTAGAAAAACATCTAATTGTTCATTCGTTTTATAATAATGTTGATTTGTAAATAAAATTAGTTAATGATTAAATAATTATTAAGTATTATATTAGGTATTGTAAAATAAAACAAATAATAAATATTAATAAACTATTTCGATCAAATAACAAATTACTCTTATTGCATATGCTCTGCATATTTTTCAATTTTTTACGCATATATTGAAGTATTTTGCGGCATATATATGCGCATATTTAACTACTTTTTGGGTGCATATATTCCTAGGTCTAATGATAAAGATCACTAGTTCCGGTATACCACAGTTCCAATAATGCAAATAAATAATATAAAAAGACAATATATAAAAACACACAAGCACAAAAAAGTAATGACAATGTCCACAGACTGACGCTAAAAATATTATAGAATGGCTGTCCCGAGAAGAAGGCAGCCAGAGGAAGAACACGACTCGATGCGCGCGGGCGAGAATATGCAATCAGCCAATAACAATGACGAATGACGATTATACATGCGCTGCGGGCAGCGCCAGGAACGGTGTCGTAGCGCCATATTCAAATATAGCGAAAAGAGTTGAATGTCCACATTACCGACATATTTAAAACTTCCTAAAAACATCCACACAAAAATGTTTTAAACATGTACTGAGGGGCGTCTTAAAGTAAGACATGAACTGGACGTCTTTAAGATGTAGTATGCTATCTAGGTATTATTAAATTTAGCTAGTAAGAAAAATTATACATAAATGAAGATAAATTTATTACTGACCCTTAAATAATACTTATTTGGTATAATAACAAGACGTTTTAGCGAAACAACTCTTTTTTATATCTTTTAAGTTTTTGTTTAAGAACTGTGATTTGTCTTGTTTTTCTTTATTCTTTTCTACCTGTTGTAAAAGTTGTCTTCTAAGCTGTTTCCTTATTTGCCAAGGGCCTGGCTCAGCTTCCAAATCCAATGATGCTCTTCTTTTTAAGTCCTACAAACAATCAATTATTATGGTGTAATGTTTGAATTATACACAAAAGGGTTGCTAAATTATTAAAAGTGCATGACATAGTAATGAAAAGTAAATAAAAAAATCTATATGTTTAATTATGTTTATTTCTATACGCGCCTTCTTCGGCTGCATGTATTTAGGGAATTCAGGAAATATAGTAGGAATTGCTCCATTTAGTAAACGCCTTTTACAGTCCGTCCCATAAAAAAAATGTCCTTTAAAATGTTTTGAACACAATCTATCATTTGGCGTCAATCCAATTTGCAATTTTCGTTGCCTAAATCCAAAGACTTTTTTTGCTGGATCCACAGGAAATCTAAAATAAAACAAATAAACATTGCTGCAATTAAATAAAAGGCAAAAGTAAATTTGAATTTAATAAAAGGTAATCTTTAGAATTGTACGACACGCCACTGGAAAAAATTACTTGTTTGGTCATTTTAATATAATAAATTGCTTAAATATCAATGAAAAGCATAAAATAAACATAAACTTGGTGGGTAAAATTTATTACTCTGGAGTAAGACATGTACAATATGTAAATACCAAGTTGTATAACACCAAATAAAATGAAAAATATAAGAAAATATATAAAGTAAAAACGATTGATGTTTATCATTTACCTATGAAACGTAATATCTGCTTCTTTCTTGCCGCTATAACTTTTTCACTGATATGCCACACAATAAACCATTGTAATAAACCAATTATTAAATGTTTTTTAATTCAAAAATCAGAAATGAACACGAAAAAAAACTTTGGTGCCACCGAAATGCTAAGCACCAAAATAATGGAGGCCAATAGATAATGGCCACAGATTACTACGTGTGCTCGATTTACGTAATATAAAAATTTTGAATAATATTTTTAAAGAAAACAGCTCACATATTCTTTATTTATTGATAATTATAGATGATATATATTTGAAATTCGAAATAATAGTTACGATGTAGCGGTGTTCTTTTTAATAGAGAGTTTTAACAAATGTACGTAAGATATCCGCTAACGTTACGTTAAACTTAGATTGTGACATTTTTCATAAACATTCAAAGGGATAAAATACAGTATATCGCTAAGATAACGTTAGCGGATGTTTGCTAAAACTCTCTATTGTAATCGGACTTTACCGCTAACGATAAGTAATTTTTAAATTCAAATAAATAGCTGTTTCGTAAATTAAAAAAGGAAGCATCATCTAATCTACATCAGCCGCAACTAATTCATAGCAAACCTAGGTACAGAGTGTGTAATCATAATTGCCATCCGTATCTATTATATTTCGGTACAAGGTCGGCAAATGAAACCCAATCAAACAATTAGCTAGAAAATAATGTACCCAACAATTTCAATTGAAACGTTTCCTTTTCACAGACAAAAAATAATTGCGAGTGATATTCTGACCCCAAAATTGCAAATGCGCAATAAAAGCGCTCATAAACAATGGAAATTTTGGACACGCACGCGAATTTGTCATCAAATCCTGTGCCACGAAAAACAGTATTATAATAGGTATTATGTTAAGAAGAAGGCGAACGTCGTTGATGAGGCCAGATGCTTATTGGTAGTTCTCTACTAATTGGAAATTAGCCCATACAACAGTGTCCCAAGAATGTTTTTTTATAAAAATAGGAAACCGTGAAAATTTTTATTTTCAAATATTTATTTTCAAAAAGCCCACACATTTTTCTCTTATTTTGCAAGTTATAGACGATTTTGTAAAATTTTACGACAGGAGACTGTTACCTCATTCAGGGAAGAGTTATGAAAGAAAAAAAAAATTAATCAATGCAACAAGTTAAAGTTTTATTTTTTATTATAACATACATACACTTATCCAAATCAACTTCTGTATTAAACAAAATAATATAGACTGAACTAATAACTATAAAACAGCAGTCTTTTCTAAATCAGTACACAACAATGTTAAACATACTATTTGGTCCTACAATCAACATCTTAATATGTCGTTTGTACTCTAAAAAACTTTTATTAGTAACAACATAATATTTAAAATTATTATCATTGGCTTTATAGCTTATAACGAAATTAGTCTTAAAAAAAATATAAACCCTGACTTAGTTCTCAAACACAGGTATAGCTGACTTAAAAAAATAAATTATTCTTTTTCCCTTTAAGACAATATCGGGGCTTGGTAACTTTTGAGTTATTTGTTCAAAAGATACATCTGAAATATCATTTTCGTCAATTCTGAAGGTTTGACCTTTGTCATCGCAAATTTTGAAAAAAGTTACGGTTAGTTCTTCTTCTTTATTGTCTGATTTATTATAGCTACATAACGATATTCCGTGCTTCTGATAGGAAACTTAACTAAAACGTAATCATCGATTTTATATTGGTTGATTGAACTAGGTCTGACAATATTATTAAAATCATTAGTGGACTTATCAATAATCTGTGACATGTCTGTCTCTAAAATAGTATCACTAATAGTATTATCTTGTTGGTCAAATTCTGGTTTATATTGGTGTTCAGAGTCTGAGTCCGTGTATATATCCTCTACGTTAAGTTTTGGCTTTTCTTTGAACTCCATTAATCCTAAATTGAAATGCTGGCATTCGTTGTCGCAAAAACAGCTCAAAGTTTTCATTATAAGCTTGGTAGCGCCGGGTGGTAATCCCAAAGGACATCTTTTATGTTTCCCTTTATTTGATGTATTTTAAGGGTACCACTGAAACTTTTCTTAGCTACATCTTTTTGAACATCACTGGTCATTTTCTAAATGTCTTCGTCATCGATGGTAAATATAATAATTCTAGGACATCTTTGTTGTATAATTTCTACAAAAGATTTTAAACTATCAATGTCGTCTCCTGCAGCAATGACGGCATCGGCAGATCGTTTGCAGGTAGTTCCAACCCAATCAGGGGCGCCTTTGCCGTGACCAGTCTCGGAAAAGTTCCAAGTAAACTTTTCTACACTTGGAACTTCTAGATGAAGCCTTGATGCCAGGATACTAAACGTTGTTTTATTCCGGTATTGTGTTACAGGTCCATCACTGATGAAATGAATGCAGTTTTGTATTGATGAAATATATTTATTTCATGAATAAAATACCATTCTAAATCTTCATGCAGGTTTTCTATTAATTAGTTCACGCGGATGAACCGTGAAAGTTCTCTTCAAATATTTTTTCACAGTCCGTTCTTTTTTAGACTTGGGGTCTTATGTTCTTATTTATATTCTTGTTCATTTACTTTTGGTGTAACCACCCAGAAAGGACGAAAACGACAAAAAGTCTGGTAACTGATTGCAATCTTTAAACCTCTTGTTGAAGATTGAATTCAACAGGTACCTTTTTTGTTTTTCACTACGTTTCTGGTTATACATTCCCGTTTTCCTGCACCAATCCTACTGTTGTCATCAGTTTCGTAAAATTTTCGCACTGTCTTGATAGATTGAGATGTAATGCAACCAAGGCGAGTCTGTGCAGTGGGTACCAAAGTTGACTGACGTGCAGACTTCTGGATTCTTTTATAAGAAATAGCACTTTCTTTGTTTCTCCACAGCTTGTATTTATTTACTATTGTGCCTGACATGACTTTTCCGAATATTTGTTTTTCTTTAAATGTTTTTAATTGGGCATAGTTTTCTTTTAACTGTTCATTCAATATCTCACTAAAAATCGCCTTTTTAACGACTTCTTTGCGAGTCTCTGGAACATCACCCATTTTTTGTAGTTTTGTGTTCGGTGTGTCGACGATATTTTTCATATTAGTTTTTTCCAATCGCTGAAACATAACCTCTTTCTATACTTTTCCAATTTCTTTTTGTAATGAATAATCTTACGATCCTTTTCTCTTATAATTCTTTCGCGCTTCTTTTTGGCTCGACTCTTTATCATGTTGATTATTGAATTTATTGAAGATCTTGAAGGCGCCGGAGATACTGCGACAAGACACTCTGAATCAGGCGTATTTTCCCGAATAAAAGTATTCGTAACTTCTTGCAAGGCTTTTTCTTTGCACGATAGGTTCCAATTTTTTTTACAGCATTGTGTTCTCGACGATTCATATCTTTGTCTAATTTTCTTGTGCCCTTTTCTTTCTCCATTTGGTATTTGCGACGTTCTTTTTCTCTTAATTCCTCTTTCTTTTTAGGATCTTTTTTAAGTCTTTCGTACCTCAATCGTTCAGCAATTCTTTTCTGTTCCAATAATTCTTCTCTTGATTTTGTTTTATTTTTGGGTGACATTGCTGTTTAAAATTTTTGAGTGCTTGTTTTTATATTTACAGAAAATTTTAAATTATGAATCTGGTCTATAAACATCGTTACTGTATCCTATTATTGCTTATATTGTTTTAAATCGGACAAATTAAGCACTGAAAATTATTATTTATTTTAAAACTTGTAATTTGAGATCATAAAAACGCATTTAATTAAATATGATTGCATAATATTAAAAGATGTACCAAGAATAGGTAACAGATTGTCGTTATTTGTATCCAGAACTCTATAATATTAACAATAAATATATTAAATATGACTGGGACAACGATTTTCCAATTAGTGAAGAAGTACCCTTATACCAGGTATGGGCAACCTTTGCTTAGCTGAGGCATCGTTCATATAATATTATTATGTACGATGGCTCAGGGCGTAATTTTGGGACTTAATTAGGTCGCGGGCCGTAGGCAAGAAATAAATAGGTAGTAGTAAATAAAAAAGCGACAAAAATTCACAAATTTTTTTATTTATTGATTATAATATAGGGTTGCCAGATTTGCGAAACGGAAAACCGGGACAACGGTGACGACATGGGATCAGATTCAAAAACCAAGCATTTTTATAAAAATCACTTCCTTTATTTCTTTGTGAATTTTTTCTAAAAAGAAAAAAGGTCCTCAACTTCTATTTTTAAGAAACCTGGGGTCCTTGTAGCGAGTTTCTAAGAAACTCAACTTAGTTTTTTAGGTTAAAAGCGGGACATTTTCGTACTTTAGCATTACGCGTGTGGCATTAACGCCTAAAATACTGGGTCTAGTCTATTTACCGGGACATTTACTAGTTCAACGGGACGACCAGGACAGACGTTCCAAATTGGGGACATGTCCCGATGTACCGGGATGAACGGCAACCCTATTATAATAGCATAATGATTATGCTCAATCAGACATATAAAAAGCAAGTTAATACAAAAAGATAGAAAATCAAATTAAAATTAATGCGAGACTTGAGTTTAAAGCCGAGAAACAGAATATTGGGGTCAATATCACTAGTACATAGGCGCAGTGTTTTCTAAATTAACATTTGTAAGCCGAGTACGATGCTTATTTTTATTAATTTTCATAATTAAAAAAATCTGCTCACATTTAGGTATACGTGCTTCCAAATGTAAGAAAACTCTCAGCTGTGTATACTTTCCTTTGGAAAGGAATGTTCTGTAAAATTCGCTTAGTTCCATCAAATTTAGACTTCAAATATGACTTTTCTTGAAGCTCGATCAACTCAATGTGCAGGTGAAGCGGAGCATCTTCCACATTACACTTACAAGGATTTGCAAAAATATTGAATGTGCTATTCATATTCTTATAATCGGAAAATAGATCAGTAAATTGCTCGAACAGTAGTTTCAATTATTCAGCATAACGACCGTATTCAATGTTTTCGTGACTGGATAATGTTGAAAAATGAAAACAGTTTTTACTTTTCATTTGTGTTTCCCACAAGCGAATTTTGTCTTAAAAAGCGGATAACTGTACAGCTGATTTACTAATTGCCCTTGTTTTTGAAGCTTCAAGTTCAGGTCGTGTGATGCCAGGAATGCCAAGTCACAAAGCCAAGTTGGATCACAAATCTGCGGCAATGTTTTCTCTTTCATTTCCATATAATCAGCTATTTTTTTTTCTAAGGTTATAAAATGTTTTTAGCACTTTACCTTTGCTTAGCCACCTTACTTCGCAATAATATGTCACATCTTCATGTTCTGAAGAAAGTTCATCCAAAAATTCTTTAAACTTACGATACTAAAGACCGCCGCATCTAATGAAATTAATGGTATTTACTACCACATCCATAACATTCTTCAATTGAATGGACTTAGAGCACAAGTTTTGTTGGTGAGTAATGCTATGCAGAATTATTAAATCACATTCTTGCACATTCATAGCGGTTGCTCTTTCCTTCAGAATTCCGATAAAACCTTTTCGTGAACCGACCATCCGTGCACACCTCAACTAATTTACACCACTGCAAACCAAATTGCTCAAAAGTACTTTGCACCTCGGCAAAAATATCTTTTCCGGTAGTGGTCCCTTGTAGCGGCCGTAAAGCCAGTAATTCCTCTGTCACCGCAACTTCTTCATCAACACCACGTATAAAAATACCTAACTGGGCTGTGTCAGATAAATCTGTACTCTTATCCAAAGCAATCTAAAATGCTTGAAAACCAGCTAAAGTATCAGTCATAGCGATCATATTTACGTATACGTCAAACAACTGTATGTCGCGATAAGCTCACTTTCTCAAACTCTTTTTTCTTTTCTGGACACAAAAATTCTGTCTGCACTCTTTAACAAACTGTCCCTCAGAAAATGTCTTAGATATTTTCGCTATTTTGGAACTAATTATAAAACTAGCTTTAAGAACGCTGTCTAGATTTGATCCTTGAGAATGGAACATTTGTTGCTGTTTCCCTAAATCGGTAATGAGTTTTTAATTTTATCCTTTCTTAACTGGCCCATGAGTGAATTATATTGAGCAAAATGCTTGCTGGAATAATGCCGCTTCATATTGTATTCTTTTAAAACAGAAAATGTTAAATTGCACAACGAACACATAGGTTTTCCACTGTGGAAGATAAAAAGTATTTATCAGTCCATTTGTCTTGGAATTGGCGACATTCTGTGTTCACTTTCCGCTTTTCTGAACCAGATATGTTTTTGCTTGAATATTTCCCGCGTCGTACTCTCGATCGTACGTGAATATACGATGCGAACTTTATCAATTGTTAAGACACGTAATGAGGTGACGCGCGCTGAGTGGTGTATATATTACCCCAATAAGCAACTATAATACTCTCGATCGTACGCGAGCGCTTCAAGTGCATTGGGCGGCTTCCCGAATGTTTATATGTTTATTTCTATCTATAACGACTATTTCTGACACGATCTGTGGTGTACCACTGCGTACGCTTAATAATATTATTTATCGATTTCAGTCATTATGAGAATAGGCGCCGAATCCCGGGGCTGCGGGTGAGGAAGCACCCAGAGCAGTTTTGAACAGGGTGCGGAGCACCCAGAGCACAACGAGGACAAAAAGTGTCAATAAGTGAAATGAAGAAGCTGTCGTGGCCCAAGTTGGTATAGCGTCAGATGCCTCAATAAAATATTATCGTTCGGAGCTATATTTTTGTGATAAAAAAGTCGCCGTAACTTGTCATAGACAACGCGTTGAACTTAAGGGTTTATTATTTTTGGTGTATAAAACCCTATGACGTCAAAAAAGAAAGATTATTAACGGTCTACAATTATCAAGATAAGATCTTTATACATATGCCATTGAGCAAATGCTTAAGGGGAAAGGGAGAACATTTGAAAGTTGCTCCTGATCAAGCACCGTTAGAAAAAAACGTTCATTTAGAGTTAGAAACAGCTCTCTAGTATTGCTGGCGAGAAACCAGGTCATCTACTAAAAAACGCTTGGACCAGTCAATTTTGTTTTTTACGGGGGAACATTGTTTTGGAAAGCGGAAACCCTCTATCGGGGGTGAGACTCACCAGTTATATCTTAAATGGAAAGATTGGTCGAATGATATGTTATTTTGAAGGTATTTTTACCTAGATAATAACCCCCGAGTTTTACATCGCTACTATCTATGTAGCCCATACAGTGGCTCACCAAAAGTACAAAACCGGTTTAACATAATTTTTACATTGTTATTAAAAAAAAAGGAATTCTTTGTAACAATTTTACTTTTATAACTGTGGCTCTCAATTATTCTTATCAGATGACATTCTTTGGTCGCCGTAAAGTAGTAAGGTTTAGTTTATTTCGTTGTAGAGTCGGCATAAACGTGGCATATCAGTGATAATGGTTTACTCTATTGCTAAGAGGGTGCAAATAATTTCACTTTTTTGCGAACAATAAATGTTCTAATAGAACTGCCTAACTGTTTAACAATCAACATCAAAATCGACAAGTCCATCGAAATTACATTTTGGAGTTAGTCCTAACATACTGGAAAACGGGGTCAGTAGCTAACAAATAACGTGAAATGGAAAATTCTGTAGTAAATGAAGCTACAGAGGTGGCGATTTTAGGACATGTTGTTCATGAACCCATATTGAGTACAAGACAGTTGGCGATAACATTTGGTATTAAGAGACGTAGTATTCAGAAGATATTGAAAGTTTTGTTCCTACAAAATACATCTGGCAAAAGAACTTAATGAAGACGATTTAAATAGGCGATTACAATTTTGTGAAATTATGACTGAACGGGTATTAAATGATTAGCAATTTCTTTTCTATGTATGTTACTCAGACAATGCACTTTTTCCTAAATAGTACGGTAAATCGTCACTACTGTCGTTATTGGTCCGATTCAAATCCCAGAATATTTCATGAAGTACATACGCAACATCCGGAAAAACTGAATGTTTGGGCTATCATTTTTGATAACCCTATAATGGGCCCCTTTTTTACCAGAAACTTTAACCGCAGAAATGTATCTGGAATTATTAGAAAACGCTATTTATCCAGTATTACCAGAGTTGATTGAAAATGACGATCAGTACATAGCAAACAACTTAATATTCCACCATGACGGTGCACCACTGTTCGTCAGTATTTGGATCAAACGTTTCCAGGTTTCCAGGATCGGAAGAAGAGGAAGTATTGAGTAGTCCCCACAGTCTCCGGATCTAAGCCCGTTGGATTTTTTATGGGGCCACGTAAAAACTAAAATTTATGCCACCCAGCCAACATCACTACTTGAAAATCTGCGACAACGACGGATAATTGATGAATGTCATCAAATAACCCCATAGATGCTTCAAAATGTCCGATAGCATTTTGAACAAAACCTCTATTATTGCATGGAGGCCCAGAATCAGCATTTCTAGTATTTACTCGATTAACTGGTAGGCTTTTACAGAAAATAAAAATCATTAAAAGATAATGGCTAGGAAGACAGTGGCGATTTAAAATTTGGGGGTTATAATCTGTTTAAAAATATCTTCAAAATACCAG